CCACCTATAAAACACATGAAAAGTAGGGATAAGAACATTTAACTAATAAAAAATATTAATTAAACATTTATTTTTGAGTATAAAATAACAAGTTTTGTGCACTTATCATTCACCACTGGACTTGAAAGGCCTTGGAATGTGGCTCATACGGAGTGTTTGACCCCTGTTTGCTTAGTTCTTTTGTTCTTTGACGACTTTGTTGAAAGGTTATTGCAAACCTTTCTTTGTTCAAGTTTTAACTATTGAAAGGACTGCCTCAAATTTCTTGTACTTGAAATTTGGTTTTCTTGACAAGTCTGGTCTTCTACCATGATTTCCTTCCCTTCCGACTGAGCACCTTCAGTTGAAGTCATTGTAGTAGCATGATGCGTTTCTTGATCCAAGTCTCTATAGAAGATGCTTGTAATAAAAGATGTAGCTACTTCATTATCCGCCAAGTTAGGAAGTATTTTGTCTTCCTCTTCGGACTCACTTCCCTCATCTTCAAGAAGGTTGTCGGGTATTTTAGGAACATCCTCTCTAGTGCCATGACTTGTTATGCTAAGCTCCATATCATAGGCTTGTGTGATAAGCTCTTCAAATGTGCGAGGCTTAATTCTTTGTAGAATGTAAAGAAACTCCCAACGCATGGCTTGCATACACGCTTCAATTGCAAAAATTTCAAACAAACGAGCTTTGCAGTTAAGACTTAGAAATCGCTAACGGTTGTTGTAATCCACCACATACTCGTCCTTCATTTGTTTGGTGTTAGTAAGCTCTAACATACTCACTATTCTGCGAGTACTATAGAAGCGATTGAGAAATTCTTGCTCTAACTGTTCCCAACTGTCAATATTTCTAGTTTTGAGGTCTATGTACCAATCAAACGTATTCCCCTTGAGGGAACGAAAAAACTGCTTGACTAAAATGTCTCCTTCCGTGCCAGCATTATTGTAGATCTCCACAAAATGTGCCACATGCTGCTTGGGATTGCCTCTTCCGTCAAACTGTTGAAACTTTGGTGGTTGATACCCCACTGGCATTTTTAAGCTATCAATTCTTTGTGTAGAAGGTTTGAGTACATGTGAGCATTTTGAGGGACGCCACTGTGTTATTCTCTTATGCAATTTACTATCATGTCTTGAAGTTGTTGGACAAAAAAGTGAGGCGATGGAGGCAGCTTCGACTGCTTGATTAGCCATTTGAGTAGTGGCGGAAATGACATTTTGATCTTCAATTGGAGTGATCTCTGGCGTGGAATGAAAATGAGGAATTCAGCCTTTGCTTGACTTAACAACGTCACATAATTTTTATTTTTTTTGTCAGTGAGACAATTTTTAGATTTTGCTCCTTGAGAATCTGTTATAGTCTTTCAATTGCACAAGTCATACTCACCAATTGCTCTTTGTACAAGGTAGTACTCGTCATTGTGACCGGCATAGTGGCAGAGTAAGAAAAAAATATTTGGCCTTGGGTGGACCAGCCTTAAACTTTGACGTACTTTTGACTGGAGCAACCTTTGAGAAGGTTTTCAAAGGATGATCTGAGATACGATTTGACATCAATTTTTTCGAGATGTGTTGAACCTTCTTCCTTGCCCCCAAATAGACAAAGGTGGTATGAATTTGAGTTATAGTTTTATCGGATTTGATAGAGTTGACTCTCACCGCATCGTGCTGCCTTTTGATGGGAACGAATACTTTGGCTATATTTTACATAATTCAACTTGCAACGATGTTGGTACCACTTGACGAAGTTGCAACCTTCTTACCACCATTTGTGGTAGTATTGATGTTGTTCGTCATGGCTATGATGTCCGTGGTGGTATTATTATTATTTTTTTTGCCCGAATCTTGTCAGAAGCCATAGGATTTGATGTAGGAGAAAGATATGGGAGGCAGAGGATGTCCCACCGGGCATGCAAGAAATTTGTACACACAAATTTCGTGTCTGTAAATAAAAGAATGAAACATAGAGCAAATAATGATTTTATTGATTTATAGAAAAAAAAGTACAATCCTCTGAGGTATGCTTTACAAAAGAAATAAAGTATCCTCTAATTCAATCTTCTTTGTTGGTTGGATTCAAGGGTTGTTGAAGCTTAATCTTGAATTGATTTGTGTTGACAATCTTCTTTAAATATTTGTAGTTGAGGAAGGCCCCAGTTGATTTTTTATCAATGGGTGAAGAAGCTTGATCTCAAAGATATTGTCTGATGATTCTTCAAACTCGTTGAATCACAGAGAAAGAACGACATGACTTTGAATGTGCTTGTTGTTCTTTACCTTTAGAGTTTTCAAATTTGTTGAATTAGAGTAAGAACGGTACGACTTTGGATGTGTTTGTTATTCTTCATCTTCAGAGTTTGAACTTGAGGAAGAACGGCACGACTTTGAATGTGCTTGTTGTTCTTCGCCTTTAGAGTCTTCAAATTTGTTGAATTGGAGGAAGAATGGTATGACTTTGGATGTGCTTGTTGTATTTCGTCTTCAGAGTTTGAATTTCAGGAGGCACGGCACGACTTTGGATGTATTTGTTGTTCTTTGTCTTTAAATTTTAAATTTGAGAAAGAACGGTACGACTTTAGATATGCTTATTGTTCTTCTTCAAAGTTTGGGTGTTGAGAGAATATTGAGTTTGACAGAGTTTCAATACTCTCTCTCTTTGAGTCTTGTTCTTTTCTCGTTAAGTCTTAGTATTCTCTTTTCCCTCCATCGTGTCTCTATTTATAGACTTCTTTGATAAATAGGATGATGACATATGTTATTTCTTGTTAATCACACAATTATAATATTTTTTTAATATTATATTGTGATAATTATCCATTATAGTAGTTATCTCCAATTATATTTTATTGGAAATAATTATTTATTTATTTAACTAACCTATTTGAGGTGGGTTTGGACTAGTGAAATGATTTGAGGTGACCCATTAGAATTTGGGCTGATTGAACAATTTAAATTAACCTACAACTCATATTTTGTAGTAGATTAAATTTATCATGGATAAACCCCACAAAATTTTGTCGACATTAAGGTTTTCCCATTTTTTTTTTTGTGTGCCTATGACAGGTTTTAAATGTCGGATGTTAGAGACTAGGTAAGTTATAATTGAAGAACATAACAGCAATGTCACTGGTGATTGAGAAAAGTTAATTCCCATGGCCACCTTTTTATTTATTTAAATGAGTTTTTTTCCCTAATTTTTAGATTAATGGTAGTTTGAGAAAGAAACTTAATATGATTAAACTGTCGCCATAAGGGGTGGATTCAGAAATTATTAACAGAGTAGGTTAATATTTGAATAAACTAATACTAGTAATAAATTTTTTCTTAAACTTAACTAAAATTGTCTATAGTAATAGAATTATTATTATTTTTTGGGTGGGCACCCTTGCTCGCCATCTCTGTTACTTTGCAGCACAAGTATATTATTTATAAACAATACATAGACTATATAGATGCACTAGTACTATAAGGGAATTTGGTCTGTGTTAAAGGTAAGCGACAAGAGGTTCACCAAAACTAATATGGATGAAGTAATAAAAAGTTATTTTAAAAAACTTAAACCTAAAAGGAGAAATGACTTGTGTTTAGAAAATAGTGCAAAAAAAAAAGAATCATGTAGCGGACTAAGTTTGACTTAGGACAAACATTATTTAGATAGCTAATTAAAAAAAGAATCAGAAAGAAAGAAGCGGATGAGAAAGAGAAGACTGATGAGACTAGAGAGCGAAGGCTAGAAGACAGAGGAAGGAGGAGAGAAGACAAATTGATGAAGAGGGTCTGAGAAAAGCAAGAACACGATGGAGAAGATGACCTAAAGGAGAGTTCTCAAACTCACAATATTATATTCAACAATCCCAAAGCTAATTGTGTGATTAGCAAAATATTAACCAACCACTAAAACATAAAATAACAAAAAAATCCTAAAATTCAAAATTATAAAAAAATATCAATAAGCATTAATAAAAACCCTAATTTGCTAAAATCTCTAATTCTATCTTCTTTTTTCCCTTCTCCAATAGTAAGTGCGGGTCATATATGGTTTCAGTTCTTGGGTCGTGCCTTGGCCTCCATCAGGTTGATACGGATAAATACAAAGATGACAACGAAGTAGCTAACAATAGCTCAATTTGTTTGAATTTCATTAATATAGTGATTCCAAGCCAACTAATTTTAAGGTCCAAATTACCAAAAAACAAAATTTTAAGGTCCACTAGTAGGAAGATTATTAAGATAAAGTCTACCTCTATTATACATACTCATATATGCTTGTGAGTTCCTTTGCTATACTCAAAGATGCAAGACATCTGGTTCTTTTACATGAGTGATAACACAGTATCCTTGTTTTGCATGGTACCATTTCGAAGTTTTAGATTTAAAATTGGAACGAATTTAATTCTACCTTCGGTTTCTATCTACGTACTCTTTTGTTGCACTTGTTGTCTAAAGAAATTTAAACCCTTCAATTACGAAAAAAAAAAAAAAAGATCTAGAATTTGAAAATTGAAAGATCCGATCCGATCAAGCATGAAAAACAGAATTTAATTCCAAAATTTAGATTTTTTTTCCCTTTGAAATATTATTTTCATTATTGTTTATTAATTAGAGATCTATATTTCCTTAATTACATGTAATGTATGTGGATATTACATGTTGCAAATAAATCATATGTTTATTGATCTCTTTTTCCGAAACCTGCATTAAAAGTCATGATTATTAGGTGATTTACCGTGATTATTATTATTATAAGGAAATAGATTAATCTACTGACTCATTTTCCGTGAAAAATAAATATGAAATCATTGTTGAAGCAAGTTTAGAGATAGAGAATCAATATCCATATATATATATATATATATATATATATATATTATAGAGTCGGACACATCCGACTAAATTTATGTAAATAAGAGATGACATAATGATGATATTATTATATTAATTACGTCACTATAATGTTATTCCCTACTCTGATTTTATCGGATACTTTCTTACTATTTATCATTATTATACTGATCATGTTACGTGCATACTAATTTTGAAACAAATTTCCTCAATGTCGTTATCGGAGCTTCCACCTTCATCGACAACCTCTTTAGCCAATTCCTTCCACCTGACAGCATTGTTTTCAAGCTCATTCCCTCTCTCTCCCTCCATGACGTGTCTTGCACACAACTCAATCTCGTCTCTGCTGACAACTCCCTTCTCACTGTCGACCCTGACCCTCACCCCTACATTCCATAAGTCCACAATACATTTCGCATTAGTCGTTGGATCCGTCCACTGTGGCATTGCCACCATCGGCACTCCCAAGCTCAAGGCCTCGAGTGTTGAGTTCCATCCACAGTGAGTTACGAAACACCCCACGACCTGATGAGCCAGAACTTCCAGCTGAGGACACCAATTCACGACTAGACCTTTCGAATCCAATGCGTTCTTGAAATTGCTCGGAAGCTTACTCTCTTCGGAAGCTCTGACTACCCACAAGAAGCTGTATGTGTTGCTGCTCGTCATTAGGCCCCACGCCAGTTCCTCCATTTGCAATTCCCCTAGGTTGGCCAAGCTTCATCATTTGCCACTAGCTACCAATCGACTTTACTACCTAATTAATTACTTAAAAGGAAGCTAGGTAAGTTGATTAATTAATTATGCTAGCTAGAAATATTTATATACTTCTTGGAATCACGAAAGTTTCATTAGATTTGAGGTATTTGGCTTACTAAGTAAGAAAATATATAAGGGCACACCGGGCATATCGTAACTATCCATTCACGTGCGTGTACAATACGAATAGTTGTGAATGACCGGTGCACCCGCACTAATCAGCACTTAAGAAAAGTTATAGGGCAATTTGCAATTCATTAAAGTGAAATTTATAATGATTATGTATATATAGAATTTTGGATCTTTATTTATTATTTTATGGAGTAAAAATTAGAATGTTTTGAAAAAATGAAGTTGATCGGTTAATGTGAACAAGAAAAAATGTTGTTCATTAGTCCAAAGTATCCTTACTATTTCTAAGTACCACTCTTGTGCATGTAAGTAAAAATAGTTGATTAATTAATTATGCTTGCTAGAAATGCTGCTATACTTCTTGGAGTCACAAATTTTCGTTAATTTCAGGTTTTTGGCTTACTAACCAGGAGAATATTTACGGTGTGTTTTAAAATTCGAAAAAAAAAATTACGGTGTGTCCAGTGCACCAGGCACATCGTAGCCGTCTGTTCCTGCGTGTGTACAATATTGACGGTTGTGATGTGCCCGGTACACGGTACACCAGACATACCAAATACCTGCTCACTAACTAGCACTTAAAAAAAGCTCTAGGGCAGTTTGCAATACATATATTGAAGTGAATTTATAATTATTATGCATATATAGAGTTCTGGATCTTTATTTACCATTTCATAGAGTCAAAGTCATGATATTTCGGAAAAATGTAGTTGATCAAAATGCTGACATGATATAAAAAATCATTGTTCATTAGCTCAAACTACCCTTACTATTTCCAAGTACCCATTTTGTACACAAAGGTATCACTTTCTTTCTTTCTTTCTTTCTTTTTTTTTGTTTTTGTTTTTATTTTTTGTGCAGACAAATTTGATGGCATGGTCTTCACCAAAAATAGTACTTTCGTGCACAAAAGTGGTACTTATTTAATTATTTGCACAAAATTGGTACCACTGTACACAATAGTGGTACATGAAAAAAGTAAAGATAGTTTCAGTAAATGAACATTGTTTTTCATGTTGATGTCAACATTTTTGATTAATTCTTCAAAATATTATGACTTTGACTTCATAAAATGATAAATAAGAATGCAAAATAATAAGCTTGAGCAGGCTAGTGGAGAGATATTGACAAAGCTCAAGGAAATTCGATCAATTAACAGGTAAAGTGAATTGATTCATTTACATGCCTACAAGTTCAACATTAATCCCAGCTAATAATTATCAAAGTGAACCAAATTTGGGCTGAGTGATTTGTAGCCAATTTTGGGTTAGGTTATTTTGTACACTTGTTGCCCATGTTGAGTTTTACGTAAGGTGTTTGGGTTATTTTGTATTGGCTAAATGCATATTTAGCCAGTTAGCCTTGTATTGTTCTGGACCAATGGTTCGACCCTATATAATGGGCTATGTACACACATATATATATTGTGAAACAAGAGTTACGCGGGATGCGGAAACTGTTAGTTGATTTCAATTATGATTAACTCCTTTATGACCTAGATCTGATTATTAGGTTAACTAGCACAATTTATGATTGATTAAATTATATGACCAATTTAAACATCCATAATCACAAATATATGAAAAGTAGAGCAAGTTAGAGTTAGAGAGATTGCACCAGGATTTTTAGCGAGGAAACCCTAGTTGATAAAATACGTCAACTGTTATGGGAAAAACCTCGTGAACTATGTAGTCCAAAGTAAACCAATCCACTATGTTTGAAACAAAGTACACCGAACTTTGACTCTGGCTCACACCTTATCGCTCTACACCACACCAACCGCTGACAATCCTCTGGCTTTGCGACTCCCCGTCCAACAGCAACTTGATCTAAGACTTACACTTGATATTTGTAGAAGAGTAACAGGTAGATCAGACAACACTCCTCGAATGCTCCAACCATTTCAAAGTGTGATTGCGCTTACTTTTGTTCTTCAAGATCTGAACTCGATTGTAGAAGAATTAAATCCTGCTTCTCATTTGGAATATCTGAATCTTCAGTATAGCTCTGATTCCGATGAGATAGAGAATAACACCACTAAATCACTCATGAATATATATGTGTATGCTCTCATAAATAAATTCAGAATAATCAGATTTAATTTTCTGAATTTTCTCTCTCTAGAAGGCTTTCTCAAAATATAAAATTGATTTTTTCTAAAGCCATGAATAAACCAATGTATATGACATGGTTTATATAGAGTTTTGAAAGCCTTAATCCCTTAGAAAATATGATAAATTTTGTGCATAGGACTTAGAAGGAAGTTGGGATAAAAAAGGAAACATTCAGAAGAAGGAAACTGAAGTTAAAATAGTACCAGGACGTCTTGAACCTGTTAGATAAATCTTGAACCGGTTCAAGATGGACAGACTCTAAAATTGCCACTCTGCTGAAGTTGAACCTGTTCGATAAATTTTGAACCAGTTCAAGTTGAACTTGTTCGATAAATCTTGAACCAGTTCAAGATGGACAGAATGTAAAATCTTGTTCAAAACCTTTCAAAACCTTTCCTAAATGTTCTTACTACCTCTCAAAACTTCTTATAGCATTGTTCTCATCATCTCGGAGTGTAGTATCTCATGAACACTTGAACTTCTTCAAATCCGCATCCGATCTTCAATCTCCAAAATTTTGAGCCGAAAATTAGAACTCGATCGGACTTGTTTTGATAATGAAATTAGCCAATTACAAAATATATATCTCACAATCTCCCCCTTTGGCAATTTCGTGTCAAAACCCTAAAAACAATTCAGCAATCTACCCAAGCAGGAAAGTAAATTACAATGATTGTTAAAGGAAATAAATCGCGGACATTTTCTTGAACCTCGTGAAGCTTCAACACATGTAGCAACCTGTAATCTGCACATTAGCTCAAACACAACTACCCGTGAAGATTAATCAAGAAAATAAACACAAACATAAAATAACAAAGCTAATAATGCTTGAATGTCAATGCAATGGAATACAATGAACAATAGTTATCCCCCTTAATGCAAAAAGTATTTCTCCCCCTTAATGCAAAAGTATCTCTCCCCCTTTTTGTCACAAATTAACAAGGGTCTCAAGGAAGACATATCCTAGAAGTAGGAAGCAACCAACCATATAATTCTTGTAAATTGAAATCAATGAGAATGTAGACTCCACAAGATTATATGTATCAATAGAAACAACAAAGATCAATTCAATGAAGTTCCACGAACTAAGTGTAGTAAAATTACCACCAAGTTCCCAAAACATATGATCTGTCAATTATTCAGATTTCAGATAATAAATCAATGATATCACATATCCTTAGAAATCAAACAATCAACATATGCAGAAGACATTTTTTTTAATATTTTTTTTTATCTCTTTTTGTGCTCCATTTTTCTTTTTGCACATTGGTGGCTTTCACGCTTATGGGCAGCCAGCTCTTTCCCTTATTCCTATTTGTTTCGAGTCAAGGTAACTTTTGGACAAATCCCAAAGGTAGCCTTTTCCATCTCACCTTTTGTCAAAACAGCAAATATTTTTGTCTCTTTTTCAAATTTTTTTTCATTCTAAGCTGTTTTTCAATTTTCTTTTATTTTCACTCTTTTGGTCTAAAACACATAAATCAAGTTGAAATCCTAAGACAATAATCAATCATATCAACATTATCTTTGACCAAAACAATGAAATCTCAAGTAAATGTACTATCAATGATTCATTTACTATACGAAATAAGTAAGCAAAACCAATTTCATCAATTCATAGCTATTGTATGTTTTTCACAGATAATGCATGTGCCATTAAACTCCTTGTGTTCAACATATTTAAACAATATGGTTTGCTTAACTTCCCAAAAACATAATCTAGATACTCAAGATATGCATGAAAATCCTTTCTAGACCATATCTTTGCAATGCATCTAATCAAGACAATTGACACCAATAGATTTCCTAAAATGAGAAAACTTAGGAGCATCTAATGGTTTAGTGAGAATATCAGCCAAATTCTGATCAGTATGCACTTTTTCCAAAGACAAGATATTTTGTTCAACAAGTTCCCTAAAAAAATAATGTCGAATGTCAATGTGTTTAGTCCTAGAATGCAAAACTGGATTCTTTGAAATATTAATTGTACTAGTATTATTACAAAAGATAGAAATAGTACCTTGATCAACTCCATAATCCAGAAGCATCTGTTTCATCCAAAGCCATTGTGTGCAACAATTTTCAGCAGTAAGGTATTCAGCCTCACAAGATGATAAAGATATTCAATTTTACTTCTTGCTATACCATGAAACAAGATTAGTACCAACATAGAAACAACCACCGGAAGTACTCTTTCTATCATCCTTGTTTCCAGCCCAATCAGCATCAGTATAGCCTGCAATCTCAGAGTTAGACTTAGAAGAATAACGCAATCCATAATTCAATGTACTATTGATATAACGAATTATACGTTTGACTGCAAGGATGTGTTGTTCTCTAAGATTAGCTTGATACCTAGCACAAACACCTACACTAAATGAAATATCTGGCCTAGTTGCTGCCAAATATAACAAGCTACCAATCATACTCTTATATAAGAAATGATCAACCTTGTTAGAATCAGAGTCTCTATCCAATTTGGATGAAGTACTCATAGGAGTTTGAATATGCTTTGAATCTTTCATACCAAACTTTTTAACTAGCTCCTTTGCATACTTTGATTGAGATATGAAAATCCCATCATCAAGTTGTTTCACTTAGAGACCTAGAAAGAAAGTCAGTTCACCAACCATGCTCATTTCAAAAGTTTTACTTATATCTTTAGAAAAAGTATGAATAAGGTTATCACATGTAACACCAAAAATAATA